CTGGTGCATGCTCCACGCTGAGGTCGGGATGCTGAACCGTCTTCTGCTGGGAAGGCCCCTCTCCCTCACAAGCCTGCTCACTTTCTCAGGGTTCAGGCCACAGCCTCTACTCCCTCACCTGCCTGTTGATAGCCATGTGGGGAGCAGTTGTTCCCCCCAGGGAACTGAGCCTATCTTTTATTTTTTAAAAGGGGAAACAAAAAAAAAAAAAAGGAGGGATAAACTCTGACGTCATGGGGCTGCGTAGGACAGCGGGGTTGGAGGCCATCTGGAGCAGGTGCTGGCAGGGCCCCTGGGAAAGGGGAAGGAGGGCAGCTGGCTCATCAGGTGGGGGTGTCCTGGGGTCAGACAAAGCCCTCATGGCATGATGAGGTTAAGCTTTCCTGGAATTTCTGGCCTGGGAAAGAAGGATGACGCTTCCTTGGCCTCCAGCTCTTCTTCTAAGGCCAGGCCCCGTAGGTGGAGGACTCCCAGAGGAGGCACCGAACTCAAGGAGGCCCCGCCAAGCCATGGCCTCTGTGTCCTCTGTGGCTCCCTACCACCAAATGGTCCTGGGGAGTGCCATGAGTACGGGGTCCTCCCTCCAGGGAGGGTGTATGTTCCTGCGGTGACATTCAGATCCCCTTTCTGCCCCAGCTGCTTCCTCCTGCCTTCGCCCAGGGGTCGGAAGCCTCTCATCGGGCCTCTTGATTCACTCTGCCCCGGTCCAGGAGGCAAGGATCGCTTTTTCCCAATTACAGGTGGTGAAACCGAAGGCCCGGGGCAGTGCTGGAACGTGGCCCGGGTCCGGCTGCAGTTCCCCTGCGTGGCCTCCACAGATCTGCTCACCGCCTGTTCAGTGTCCTCTCTGGGAAGTTATGCAGCTGGAAGAAGGCCTCTGGGATGCAATAATTGCGGAGAAAACAGATGGGCTCCCGAGCAATCCTCCCCTCCTCCGTGCACCTGAGAAGCCTCCCGCTCGCCCCACGGCCAGGAGGGGGCGCTGTTCCGCAGGGACTGGTTCCCACCTCCTGGGAGGAGAGCTGGACGAACCGGTCTTGGCCCCTCCTCCCCAAGTCGTCTCCTCCGACCCCCCAAGCCCTTCTGCACACCTTTCTCACCCGAGGTGTCCTCATCAAAGCCCAGTCTCGTCTTCCGTAGGGTCCTGCTAACTGGACATCGACTGTCCCAAGGAAGGGCCAGTCCGCGGTAGGCAGGAGAGTCTTACCTTGCCCTTCTTGGAGGAGAGGAAGGAGGCAAGAAGGGCCCACAAGAATGGGGTCTTTTCTCTCCACGTCCTCACCTTTCAGAGACCCAGGAGGGAGAAGGGGGTCTCAGCGATGCGACTCTGATGCCTGGGGCTTGGCACGCTTCAGCCTGGCTCTGACCTTCCCCACTCCCTGCTCCCTCTCCATGTCCCCCCGAAACTCAGCACTTTCCCTCGGCCTCATCTTTCATATCCTCCCCCAAGTTTGCCTGCGGCCCCCAAACCCCCAAGAGCATAATGGGCTCCCACCCTCGGGAGACAAGCCCCTCCTCCTATCAACTACCCTCTTTCCTTAGGTCTGGGCATGCGCGGTTCTGCAACACGGCTGCCCTCCAGCTTACGTAGGTTTCACTGGGTTGCTGTTTGGCGAGGCTTCTCAATTCGATTGTTTTTCTTTTCCCGCAGCTCTGGAAGCCCGAGGGCATTCCCCCATTAGCCCAAAGGGGGTCGCTCTGTTTTGCATCTAGGTTTGCCTCCTTTTTCTCTTCTCTCCGCCTGCCTGCGGGTCTCCTTTCCCCGCTCAGCTCAGACTTTCCTTCTCCGGGAAGCCCGCCCTGCTAGGCCAAGCTGGGGCAGCTGCCCTCCCTCCCTGCCGTTGTCCTTTTCCGCCTACAAAGCTGGAGCCTGTTTCCTGGGGGTTCTTCCTCTCGGGATGGAACTCCACAGGCTGCGTGGATGCTCAGGGGATACTTGGGGAATCAATGGATGGATAAGTGACAAATGACAGATTCCCTACAGAATGGCCAGGCTCCTGGCGCCCAGTGGGAGCAGAAGAGGCAGACCTCTGGATGGAAAGGCAGGAAGAAGGGACCTGAGTCCGCAGTCTAGGCCCAGGAGGGAGAGAGAGCCTCCTCTGCAGCTTCCTGTGCAAGGAAAGCATGGGGCGGTAAAATTCTTACGGCCCAAGGGGTGTTGTCTGCTCGCTGCAAGATCTGCCAATAGTCAGGAGGCAAGGTGGTAGGAGAGAAAGGGTTTCTTTACTACAGCTTGCTAGTAAAAGGGAAAACAGCCGACTCCTGTCCAAAGAACTAGCTTACAGAACAAAGCCTACAGGCCAGTTATATACGGGGCTGGTCTCTGGGTGGGGCAGACATCTAGTTCCCGTCCCTGACAGTCCTTTGTTTTACTGGATATGCATCAGACAATGGAGCAATGCCCTACACCCTGATCTCTCAGTTGTCATGGATGATGGCTATCAGCATAGGCTGTCTGCCCAGGGGTCATCACATTCCTAAGGAACTCAAAGGAACAAAGTTATCATCTTAAAGCAGCTGGGAGGGGCCACGAGATCTACAGAGCTTGTTTGCGCTGGTTAATCAGAGGTCACTCGAAGTTACAATATGGTTTCTTTTCTACAATATGGCTTCCCTTATGACAACCTTGTGTTGAGCCGGTATCAAAACCATCCATCACCAAGGCAGTCATGTGCTGACAGCCTCTTTTCCTGAAGGGCCAGTCCTCCCACTTCTCCCCACCACACCTCCAGGCCCCACTTAACAGGAGCAGCTCCACGGCCCGCCCTTGGGAAGCCTCACTCTGCAATGAACTCTTCTAGCATCTGGTCTGTCTCCAAATGACCCCAGCCCAGTGGTCAGAAGTGGGGGCTCCCAGAAGATTCTTCTTCCAAAAAGAGAAAGTAGAGTCCAAAATGTTGGCTCTGTCCATACTGGGGAGGGAGTGGGGTCGGTTTGTGGAATTTGGTCTCAAAGTTCAAAGAGAGGGGAGACCTAAATAGCTACCTGGCTGTCGCCAAGTACATCCAAGGGACACAGAAGGAGGAAGCAGCTGCCTACAGACATTCAGACAGAAGGAGTGACCATGGAGCACCAGAGGCTTCCAACCTGTCCCTCACAAGAAGTTTCAGAGAAAGTAGCTGTTGCCCACTGGAAACCAGCCCAGTGCCTGGCTCTAGAGTCATCCGTCCTGCTCCTTAAACCAGTAGAAATAAAGCAAGTCTCAGAGAAGTTCCAGATTGGTGACATTCCTTTTTGTCCAGTAGGCAGAGGGATGAGGGACCTTCCATCACTTACCTAGAGACCCCTCCCTCTTTTCCCTTCTTGCTTCCCTTTCTTTCTCCCCAAATGAAAGAGTGGTGCCACTCTATCAGTGTTACCATAAAGAGGCAATCCGGGGGGCTGCATGGAGGTGGTGAATCAACTCACCAGAACTCACAAAAGATGACCTGTTGATGTCTGGATCCTCTTCAAGATCCGGTGACTCTGCTACCCCAAACTCAGTCCTTAGGTGGAGGTTATTTCCTAATCAAAGGGACTTAGGGCACAGTTGGTCTGCAGTTTCCGACTCCGAGTGCCAGGGTGGGAAGGAGAGAGCCCAGAGCAGAGAGCAGATGGTGGCTCCCTTGCCTCCCAGCTCTGGACCCAGGCTCTGCTGTGTGAGTGACACCAGATTCTCCTGGCTCCTCTTGACTCCAGTCGCCCTCCTGCCTCGGGCGAAGCTTCCTCTCCCTGAAAAAGCTCATGCAGGCGCCTGCATCCGGCTGCGTCATCTTGGTGCCTGGGGACCACCACTGCGCCGGTTCCCAGCTGTCCACCCGAGTCCTGCTGGGTGGCAGCAAGTTCACAGATTCCTGCACCTAACTCAATTCCCAAGAATTGGGAATGGGGTGCCAGGCTCTCCATCTCCATGGCCCGAAGGGACTCCTCAGAGCCTGAGGGATTGAGATGCCCTGCCCAAGGAGAGGGATACGTGGCCGTGTCCCCACAGCTACAGGGGGACCTCCCTACAGCCGAAAAGGTGAAGGCGACCACCTGTCACGGCTCACAGAAGCCAGACTGGGCTCGGGGCTAAGTCAAGCTCCCTCCCCAGCCAGTGCGGGTGCACAGGACACTGGAGCCGACCAGCCCCACGCTGCGGATCCTCGCGTGAGTGCAGACAGAATCAGGCGTACACACGTCTGTGCAGAAGGAAGCCACCCGCCCGGTCGGATCGGGGGACGTTCTGTGCGGACGACGCAGGCTGAGCGCGCTTAGAGCCACAGTGGCGGAGACATGTGCGGTGGCCACCGCACACCCGCATGGGCACCCGTATCTCGGGCCTGACCTGTAGATCACCTCCTTCGCGTTTTGCTCTCAAACACACCCTCAGGCGAAAGGCTTGAGCTCTCCGGTATAGGACTTGCGCTCCCCCCTGCGGCCCCGGGCGAACCTCGCTCTCCCAGCGTCTCCTGCCCGGACCTCCCGCCCCAGCCTCTGCCTCCCCAACCTAAAGGCTCAGGTGCGGTCTGAGCTCCCGCCCCAGCCAGCGAGAGAAAGGAGGAGCCGTAGTGCCAGGCCTGCGCCTGTCAGGTGCCCAGGGAAGAGTTTGGCAACAAAGATCTGCGTGGATTTCGGGGTGTGCCAACTTTCTGGCTGTGTGACTTTGGGTAATTGACTTCATTCCTCTGAGCCTGTCTTTGCACCTGCAAAGAGGGAAACGGGGGGCTGGCCCCGTGGCCGAGTGGTTAAGTTCGCGCGCTCCGCTGCAGGCGGCCCAGTGTTTCGTCGGTTCGAATCCTGGGCGCGGACATGGCACTGCTCGTCAGACCACGCTGAGGCAGCGTCCCACATGCCACAACTAGAGGAACCCACAACGAAGAATACACAACTATGTACCGGGGTGCTTTGGGGAGAAAGAGGAAAAAATAAAAAAATCTTTAAAAAAAAAAAAAAAAGAGGGAAACGGATCCCTTCCAGAGAGAGCGCTTGTGCGCAAGGCATCCAGAGCCCCAACGCTTGGCAAGCACGGGCGCGCGCTCGCTGCAAATGAAGTTCCCTTGTGCGCGCGGCTTTGCAGCTCAGAGTGCAGCCGGGAGAGAGCCAGCCGAACCGCGGGATCCCTCGCGGGTGGGATGAGGGTGGGGGCAGAGGGGGAGCCCCCGCGGCCCCCTCCCAGCCCTCGGCGCGCGTGCCATTGGCCCGGGCAGCCCAGTGGGCGGGAGGATGACATCAGCGGCAGGTTGGATTATAAAGGCGCGAGCGGAGCCGCGGGCTCAGAGCGCACCCAGCCGGCGCCGCGCAGCACTGGGACCCGCGCCTGCACCGCAGTCCGGCCAGCCTGCTCCGCGCCCGCCTGCTGCTCTGCCCGCCAGCCCCGCGTGCCCTCGCTGCCGCCGGTCTGCGCCCCTCGACCCTACGGGCACCATGCACCTCTCCCAGCTGCTGGCCTGCGCCCTGCTGCTCACGCTGCTCTCGCTCCGGCCCTCTGAAGCCAAGCCCGGGGCGCCGCCGAAGGTGGGTGCTGTCGCGGGGACATGGAGACCGTGAGGGGCTGTGGGAGAGCTGGGGATGTAGGAGGATGCGGCGCGCCGGAGCGAGCAGAGAGGGCGGGAAGGCGGCGCTCTTCCCTGAGATATGCGCAGGTGAGAGCCGGGAGCCTCGAAGCCCGGACTCCGGGGTCTCCGTCTCCAGCTGCGGAGAACGTCGACAAATGCGCAACCCCTACCCCAGTGTGGCCAGCCGGGCAAGGGACATCGCAGGGGAGCGGGGGCAAGGGTCTCCCCGAAGGAGCGGACAACGGCGGCCGCGCGGCAGGTGGATACAGGGCCGAGCTGTTCCGGCATCGGTGGGCGCGCTCAGGGCTCGGAAGGGAGAAACCGCGCTGGCGGGCGGGCGCGTCCGGCTGGAGCATCAGGGGCCCAGCAAAGTCCCCCGCGCTGCCGCCGTGCGTCCCTTCACCCACGCGCTCTTTTCCTCCACAGGTCCCGCGAACTCCGCCGGGGGAGGAGCTGGCCGAGCCCCAGGCTGCGGGCGGTGGACAGAAGAAGGGCGACAAGACCCCTGGAGGCGGCGGCGCCAACCTCAAGGGCGACCGGTCTCGACTGCTCCGGGACCTGCGCGTGGACACCAAGTCGCGGGGGGCGTGGGCCCGCCTTCTGCACGAGCACCCCAACGCGCGCAAATACAAAGGAGGCAACAAGAAGGGCTTGTCCAAGGGCTGCTTCGGCCTCAAGCTGGACCGGATCGGCTCCATGAGCGGCCTGGGATGTTAGAGCGGCGACCCCTGGCGGCGGTGAGTACCACCAACCCTGGCCGCCGGGCGCTCCCTCACGCCCAGCTTCCCCGCGGCTCCTGCCAGAACCAACCAGATCCCCCGCCCGCAGGCCCGTTCCTCTCTGGTCCCCTGGCCCTGGGACCGTTCCACCTCCCAGCCGACCTTTGGAGGGGAGCCAGAGGATCTGGGCTCGAGATAGAATGTGCGTGCTAGGCATTTGCCCCCAAACCCATTTATCTTCCCATTTTACAGATAGGAAAAGTGAGGGATAAAGTGGTCAGGGACCTTTGGCAAGGTCAGAAATGTCTCAGCATGGATGAACCCACCTGGCTTCCTCTGGAAAAGCAGAGATAGCTTGGTGGGGTCCCACTCTCCCCAAGACCACGAGGGAACCAGCAGCACTGGCTCCCATCCCCAATTGGGGGGCTTGAGGGGAGACTGGGTTGGTGGAAGCAGAGGAGGAAGGGTGTGCACAGAAGCCAGGGTAAGTTTATCTGCCAGCCACTGCATCATGGGGCCTGGGCAGTAGGCAGCCCAGAGGTCAGGACGGCTTCCTGGGTCTGTTGTCCCTGAAGTGGGACAGACTTGGAAGCGTACCTGGCCTCTCACAGTGGAGAGAATACCCCTTTGTTGGCATCACCAGGGAGCTCTTCTGCCCCAGAACATTCTGATTCTCCTCCCTCGTCTCAACTGTGGCTGTGGACAAACTGGTCTGTCCAGGGTCCTGATGCTGCTGCACCAGTGCGACTCCGGGATCAGACCTCAGTGTTTGTGGCACTCTTTCAGGGCAAGAAAAAGGAACTAAAATAAATCTTACTTCTTGCCCCCAACCTTGAACTCAGCATGCCCCAAACTGAGCTCCTCACCAACCTCCCCACCCCCATCATTCCGGGGCTCCCTCTTTCTAGCGTGGCCTGCTTGTCCTCCACCAGGACTGGAAAACCACATGCTACCTTCAGCCCCTGCCAGGTGTCGCATCCCGGCCATGTCCTGCCGCATGGGTCCCCCTCCTCTCCATTCCTGCTGCCCATCAGTGCCCGTGGAAAAACAACATCCCAACCTCAGAAATGGGCATTCAGGTGCTTTAGGATCTGACCCCAGCCTTTTCCTGCAGCCCCATCCCACGCCTGTCTGTCCCACTCCAGGCCATAGGGAAGCTGCTCTCTCTCCCAAACAGCTTTATCAGTGTCCACGCTGTATTCCCCCAGAGGGCTCTTGTTGCCAGCGTGTTGCCTAAGCCTTTTTTACAGCATGGACCACTCTTCACCTGAGCTATAGTTGCTTGGGAACCTTGTCACCTCCCCAAATTAACTCATGAGTGACTTTAGGGCCAGGCACCAGCCTAAGGTGGTCTGGGACCCGCAGCACCCCTAAAGGGGCTCTTAAAAGGGTTTGCCAGTGACCAGAGAACCCTGTCCCACCTGGCTTAGGGGCACTCCTCTCCCACCACCCTAGGTTTTAGCTGGTGCCCCTCTTTCTGCAGCCAGGCGTGACCACGCTGTGTGTTCCTCCCCAGTTCTTCAGGGGCTTCAGTGTCTGAGAACCCGACTCACCCCTGCACAGGGAGTGATGGTTCTGGCACTTGGGGTCCCGCCTTTAGTAGCTACCACTGTAGTGGTCTTGCTCTTCTCTCCTGTCTAAACAGCAAAGAGATGGAGCCACAGGACTCGAATTTTCAGTTTGTGATTTAAGCACCAAGCTCAGACATGAGAATCTAAACAAATGTTGGCTAACCTTCTATGGATTAGTGCCTGGTACGCCCGTTCCCAGAGGCTCTGTGTTCTTGGATGTGGCTGCTTGTGGGTCCCAGGTGATGGTCCAATGGGTGGTAAGAGGTGCTGGGTACGAGGGATCCAGATGGCTAAGACTCCCCGACCCCTTTGACCATGGAAGTCTGTCCACCTCCTAGAAGTTCTCTTAGCTGATCATCCATCTCTGATCCTTTCACCTTCTCAACCGCATCCTCCCCTCCACCCCATGAGAATGCAGAAGCTCCTTCTGTGCCTGCAGCCTTCCAGTGGAATGCCTAGGGTGTCTCACTGTCCGGGCTCAACAGAAAGAGCTTAGATTTTTCACATTAATAAAAACTCTTCTGGGCTGGCCCAGTGGTGCAGCAGTTAAGTTCACACATTCTGCTTCAGTGGCCTGGGTTCGCTGGTTCAGATCCTGGGTGCAGACCTATGCACCACTTGTCAGGCCATGCTGTGGCAGGCGTTCCACATATAAAGTAGAGGAAGATGGGCATGAATGTTAGCTCAGGGCCAGTCTTCCTCAGCAAAAAAAAAAAAAAAAAAAAAAGGATTGGCAGCAGATGTTAGCTCAGGGCTAATCTTCCAAAAAAAAAACAAAAAAACACTCTTCTGAGGTCGTGGCCATTTCCTCACTCAGGAGTTGACTTTGGCTCTGAACAGCCACCATAATGACTGTCGCTGATGGTTATAGGTCTTGATTATAAAATAATAACAGAGATGATGGCGTATGGCTGATACCTGAATGAACACCTTGCCCACGGGCCCCAGGGACATCACAGATGTCTGTCATCTGTTTAAACACATGGGACAGCCAGAGGAGGGAGTTGGGGAAGAGTATCAAGCACTGAGGCCTGGGGTCCCTCTTCGTGTGCTGTCCTCTGGGAGGGCTCTGCACCATCTCAGGAGGATGCCTTCCTCTGGCCCCGGAGCACCCCCATGCCTGTGGGCGGAGACCGGGTACAGCGCTCATCCAATGATTCTAAGAACTCTCAACCCAGCAAACCCAGCGCCACCATTTTCCCGGGGCTGCTGTCAGACACCATTTCCTCTGCTTGAAGGGGACCCTTTCCGAGGCAAAGCCAGCCTGGGAAGGAGGCACTGTTTACTGAGTGGCAGCAGTGACCCAGACATTGTGCGAGGCCCCCTGCGAGGTGCCTATTATCCCATTTTATAGGTGAGGAAAGAGATACTTAAGCCACCCGGGGCCATCCAGGCAATAAATATCAGAGGTGGGACTTGAGCCCAGAATTCCCAACGACTCGGATGTTTCTCTTCCCCTGCCCTCCACTGTCACCAGACATGTAACGCCAAAGCAGAGGCGAGCACCAGACTGAGGGTTTGTGTAGTATCCAAAAAGGGAGAGGGGCGTTTTCCATTCCCTTTTCGAGTGTGGTGTCTCACCCAGCGAGTGCCGAGGGCCAGGCTGGCAGTCAGCCTGAGGGGAGGGGGGCTGGCAGACATTCTGGTTCCACCTGCTCTGGGGCAGGAAGTGCGGAGGACGTGCAGGAGACAAGATGAGGGCCTGGAAGGGCCCCTTTCCCTGGACGGGAGCCTTCATCAGGGCTGTAGGGCAAAGGTAGAGGGACGTTACTTCATGCTGCTGCAGGAACAGGAGGAAGGTTCTAGAACGGCCCTGCAGGCTGAGGTTTCTCAGCTAAGGGGCCAGAATTGAGTGTCCCGTGTCCCCTCTGTATTCCAGGATTGGGAACTTGCTCCATTGTGCTGAGGTCATCCTTGGTCATCAGCCTCCCGGCATCTGGAAGCACTTCCAACGCAATGTGGCTTTTACATTTCTTTTTTTTTTTTTTCCTGGTACTGGGAATACACAACACCAGCTGTCTTATTATTTGGGGAGGGGGGGTATGAGTTTATTGTTTGTTTTTTTTGAAAATGAAAAATAAAAAGTTATATATTATATATATATTATATACATGAAACATGCACCTACACCCACGTGATGACAAGGGACAGTTTTTAAGAGACTGACAAAACCAGCTGTAAAACATTGCTGTTTGTAAATTCATGTCATGCCTAAATGTATTTATGTTGTAAAGCTATTTATATTGTTTATAAAGAGATATTTATAAAAATTTTATTTATGTAACTAAATGAAAGAAGTCAATCATTGTAATGTTTCTGTCTTAACTAGTTGGAAAATGTAAAAAAAAGTCATTCCATGAACATCTTGAAAACTGTCTTTATTTACTCGTTTTTATTTTTAGGAATTAGTCTGAGGAAGAGGGAGAATGTGAAGAGAAGGCTTTTGCCTCTAAATAGATCTTACAGCCAGGTTTCCAATTCTGGATTAATTGGTATCAGCATCCCCTGGGAAGCTTGTTAAAAGTACAGATTCCTGGGCCGGCCGGTGGCGCAGTGGTTAAGTGCGCACGTTCTGCTTCGGCAGCCCGGGGTTCGCCGGTTCGGATCCTGGGTGTGGACATGGCCCCGCTTGGCAAGCCATGCTGTGGTAGGCGTCCCACATATAAAGGAGAAGAAGATGGGCATGGATGTTAGCTCAGGGCCAGTCTTCCTCAGCAAAAAGGAGGATTGGCAGTGGTTAGCTCAGGGCTAATCTTCCTCAAAAAAAAATAATCTTAATTAAAAAAAAAAAAAAAAGGTACAGATTCCTGCCCCGACCCGCCCCCTGATCCACTGAATCTGAGTCTCCTGGGATGGGATCGGCCATGTCCAGCTTGGCGAGGTCAGGAAGCTCCAACTAGAACACCTGACAGCCGGGAAGTCAGAGGCTGGTACAATTAAAATTAACTTAATTTAATTAATTTTGAATTTAGCTGGCTGAGGGTCCTCTAAATTCTACGCCTTCTCTCTGTTATTAAAAAAAGAAAGAACTGAAAACTTCCCTTTCGTTTGGGGGAGATTTAGAAGGTTTCTGTATATCGTGCAGGATTGGTCAGGTTACCTTGCGAATCTTGGCAACTGTGTTTCACAGACCTTCTCCCGGAAGCACAGGATGGTCGTTTCTGCCCCACTGTCAATGCCACGGTCAGAGGGGCCAGAGGCAATGACCTCAGAGGAAGAGAAGATGTGATCGGGTTTCACATTCGGAAAGTGGTGAGCCTGCCAGGGCATTGTGGTTTTTCTTTTCATTTGAAGCCACTAACAATTATGGTTTCTATGCCCCATGGAGCTTGAATGTGAAATTATGGATATTTAGAATCTCTTTTCCTGAAACCAGCAGGAAACTTTAAATAATTCCAAGATAATCTTGCTGCTCCTGGGTACGGTGACACCCCTGAGCAGCCTTCACCATCTGTCTTCTGTCCTCCGTCTGGGGAAAGCAGAAACATAAAGAGCCTTTTGGGCTGGTTACAGCAGGTGGGCGCCACCTCGCTCAGGGGAATTGGGAACACTGTGGCCCCGAGGTCACGGGGTCAGTTCCAGAGGAAGATGAGCACTGGAGGAGGTGGCCGGTGACACCTGGCCTTTCTGCTGGCATCTGAGCCCCGTGACCTTTGTTGGCTCCACCAGCAGGTTCTAAGGTGGGTGGGCGGCCAACACAGTGACCTCACCCAGAGGTCATGATTCAATGGAGGAAGGTTCAGGCCCTTCCCACCCCCTCAACTTCTGCCACTGCCCCGGGGGACGGCTCATCGTCCTTCCCTGGACCCAGCTCACTAGTCTGGGGTGAGCTATCTTCCCATGACTCATCCTGCCTCTGTGGCTCAAAACTTAGGTGCCCATGTCCGTGACGGTGAGGGGCTCCAGCACCCAGGCCTTGCCAGGGCCTGTGTTCACTGTGCTGTCTGCAGACCGTGCCAGGGGAGGCTGAGCGCGCTGCAGAAGCAAGAGGGAGCAGGAAGGCAGGCGGGGACACTGTGGGCTTTGCTGGTGGCGAGGCAGGCACAGCTTCCCAAAGCCCAGAGACACAAGGGGCAGAGAATTCTGGGATTCAGGGAGCCACCACCGGAAGCTAAATGTTTTCCCTGTGGACAGTATCTGGCTGCTACTAAGCCACTAGGACCCTTTCAACCAAGCTACACACATTCTCCTCCAAGCAGCTCTCATCCGTGAATTGGCCCTCAGATGACACACACAATGCTCTATTCCCAACTTCAGCCCTCAACCTGTCGGCTTAAGACATTGCTAGCCAGCCAGTCCTCCTCTGATGTGCAAACCTGATGTGCACGCCTTCCTCGGGAGGGACTAGGATGTGTCAGCCCAGTTAGGAATTTCTGCCGGACGCCAGGAAGGATGGACAAACATTCCACAAGTAACAAGAAAAGTTTGGAACCTCCAGAGATTACCTTGGTGGTATTACCCCAAGAGCTTCCAGTCCTCTGGTCTGTATCTTGGCCTCCTCCCTTGCCATGAGCATCTCCCCTCCAAAGCTGCCTGGAGAACCTGCAGCTTCTCTCCCATGTGGGCTGATCACAACAGCCAGGACCAGCCCGGGGGATGGCTGCAGGGATGGGGCTCGCCGGGTCCCCCTCCTCCAGGACAGGGTGGACACCTCTGTGGTGCCAGAGGGTTTCCTGTGAAGGGCCAGCTGGGTTGGGCAGAGGCAAAGAGAGTTTCAGGTGCCCGAAGGCCTCAGGCGTGTGGATGTCCCAGAGGGAGCCACTGCCTTCCCTGAAGTGCTTGGTTCTTGGGGAGTCTGGGCGGGGCTAGGGGAATCTGCCTGGGTGAGATCCCTGGTGCTGTATCTGGTGACATGTAGGAGCTGGGCGCAGCAGGACTGGGCCCAGGAGCCCCACTTTGGACTCCTGAACACGCCTGGAGGGTTTCTGCCCAGTGCTCTGAATGTCAACGTGAAGAAATGCACTTGAGAACTCAAGCCCACATCAGGGCCTTATGTAGAGAGGTACCACCCCTGCCCCCACCATGGAGGTGATGGAGGCTCGGCCGGGTGGGGTCCAGGAGCCTACCTTCCTCCCACTGCCCGAGATGTGGGAGGGCCTCCCCTGACAGCCTCGACACCACAGGCATGGTCCAAAATGGGGCTGCACACAAGCAGGGGAGCTTCTGGGGGTGATCAGAGAGGCCACAATATCCGGACATGGCTAGAGTCCCGCTCTTCCAAAGGAAGAGGTCTTAGCCCAAGCCAGTGCTAGGGGGCAGAAGAGGAGCCCCCACACTCAGTCAGGGACAATGCAAGGGAGGAGGCTGGCCCTAGGTTGCAGCTGGGTGAAGGGGTCATCCCTCAGGAGCTGTGCCAGCCTGCAGGACGCAGACCCCAAAGCAGGACGGAATCAGGAAGGAAGACCACCAGAAGCCAACCAGCAGGGGAGCCTAGGGGATGTGGCTCACAGGAGTCGGCCTGCCAGGGTGGGAGAGGGTAAGGCAAACAGAATCAACAGCACAGGAGGTGTCGGTTTGAGGCTGGGGTCCGGCATCTCCTCCAGCAGAGATGAGGCCACAGCAGGTGTCAGGGCTAATACCTCCCTAGACGCAGTCACTTGTCTTGGTTGCAGGAGACTGAGATTGACTGGGTCAGAAGTGAGGGCACTGTGTGACCGGCAGCTCTGGACCTGGGAGTGGTCCCACATTCATAGCTTTACTGAGCTCATCTGGAGGGTCACTGGTCCTCCCTCCACGCCCCACAGGGAGTGCCCATCAGTAAGTGTCCCCGCCCTGATGGCAGATTGCCTGATGCTCTCTATCCTTTCCTAGCCCAGACCCCAGACATATGCCATTTCCACAGGGAAGGGACAGCAGCAGAAAGGGTACCGGGTGAGCCCCCACCAGTTCCCCCAGGGCAGTCTCAGACATGAAGTCCCCTGCCTGACCCCAACATAGGTAGACTTCCCTGTCCCCACCTCCATGGTCTACTCCGTGTCCTGTTCTAGAATTTGAGGTTTTGTGCTTCCCAGATTAGGTCTTTCACTGCACCTGTTTTGCTCTTAACTGCCTCCAGTGGGGCCTTTGAGGTCACCGTAGCGTTTTCTGGATTTTTCATTTCTTTGTAAGCTTTCCGTATCTCATTCTTTTCCGCTTTTGTCTCATCATGTTCCCTTTCCAACTCACTCTGTTGGCTTTTCATTTTTGTTCCTCATTCATGGAAACCATGTCCTCCTGCATTCTATGTAGGATGCACCACAATTGCCTGAAACCTTCTAGATCTTTCTGCAGATATATTTTGGAGGTGTTTCCTCTGCACATCCTGAAGGTGTGTGCGAACGTCACATCTCACTTGGTTATTTTTGTGATTTTTCAGTCTGTGCTTAGTTGGAGAAGGATGTTGGGAAAGTGATGGAATATCAAAAATGGCAGGAAAATAGCCTGCCCGTCATACGGAGGATCACCTAGGAGCTCAGAGAGTAGCTGCCCAGCTTCTGGTTGGCGCAGACCCCCGGGGCTCTGAGTGGAGACAAGAGAGTGGGGAGGTGGTTGCGTTTTGCTCATCCCTCATGGAGGCATTCGGCCGGTGGGCCATAAGCTGAGGCTAGGGGAGCTGTTTCTCTCTCCAGAACCTTATTTATTTTATTTTATATTTTTTAAAGACTTTATTTTTCCTTTTTCTCCCCAAAGCCCCCCGATACATATTTGCCTATTTTTAGTTGTGGGTCCTTCTAGTTGTGGCATGTGGGACACCGCCTCAACATGGCCTGATGAGTGGTGACATGTCCGCGCCCAGGATCCAAACCAGCGAAACCCTGGGCCACTGAAGTGGAGTGGGCGAACTTAACCACTCGGCCACGGGGCCAGCCCCATCTCCGGCACCTTATTAAAGCCAGTTCTTCCTGATTCTGGCATCACATTGTCTGTCTGTCTCACTTCGGATTGTCATGAGTTTGGGTCCTCATCTAAGCCTTCCTGTATATACTGCCCTCTCCAAAACCGGCTTTGGATCCAGGAACTGTTTTGCTAACAAATTACATTCAGATTTGTGAGGAGCAGAAGTTCAACTATTTCATTAATGTTTTTTCCTTTTTCAAGATATGAGGATGGAAGCTCTGAATTAATTCCATTATTTTGCTATTTTATAATCTATTTTTGCTTATATATTTCTTACTTAATAATGTTATTTATATTGGTTTCCTTAACACTTCTCTGTACCTTTTCTAAATTCTTAAATGAACACTTATTTCTGAGTGTGGCTGTATTCATGCCCCAAAGTTTTAATATATGACAGTCTCACTTATTTTCTAAATAGTTTGTTGACTTGATTTTTTCCCTAACAATTCCAAGTGGAATTTAATTTTTCTTAATTTATATTATTAAT